CTTTAATCTGTCTTCTACTGCTGCCAAAAATAATCTTTCCTGGTTAGAGCGATGGCCTCGTTTTCCTGCTCAAGAAATCTGTGACTCCTAATTGCCTCAAAGAGAAAATACAAATTTTTGGTGGTATTTAAAGTCCTTCTTCCTTTGACTCTAGGTCTCCTTTCCAGGCTTATTTCCTGTAAAGCCCTTCATCCACTGTTTCAGTGGAACTGTTATACTTGCTGTCTTTCAACTCAATAGTCCTATCTCAGACCTTCCTGTTCCCCTGGACTGAAATACACTCCCTCCTCTCTGCTTTTAAAATCCTTAGCTGCCTTCAAGTGTATTTCAGGTGTACTCTCCAATGAAAAGCCTTTCCTGATTACCCCAGCTCCACCCAGAGGAGCTAGGTGGTACAGACCATAGAGTGCTGGGATTAGAGTCAGAAGACCCCAGTTCAAATTTGGCCTAACTGGTTGTGAGGCCCTGGGAAAGCTACTTAACCTTTATCTGCCTCAATTTCCTCTGCTGCAAAATGGAAATAATGATAGCCCTCACAGAGTTGTAAGGACCAAATGAGGTGTTAAAAGTACTTACCACAGCGCCTGACACACAGCAGGTCTTAGTAAATAGCCTGTTTCCTTTCTCCCTGGATGCTGGTGCTTACTCTCAAGTCAGATAATCTTGTATTTACTTACTGTGCAAATGTTGTACCTCTAGGTAGAAGGCAAGTTTGTTGAGGGCAGGGACTGTTTTATTTTAGTTTAGTCTTTGTATTCCAATAGCTTGGCAGTGCCTTTGACTGTAAATCTAATTAGATTTACTATATCAACATATATTACCCATGGAATTGTTGATTTTTGTTATGGATAGTGATTGAGGGACAATGCTGCCACGGCTTTGCTAGTTTAATATTTGTAACTATTTTCTGCAGTAGTTTTTTTTTTTAAACATAAGCAACATAGAATACCAAAATTAGGAGTCACACTCTTTTAAAGATATACATCATTTGGATGCACATTCCACTAAGCTGTTATTGGAGTGACAATAAAAGTTTTTGTTTTTTTTTTTTTTCAATGTTGGTGCTTGGTTTATAAACTTTTGTCTTCTGTTTTGGCTGGGTAGGCATTAATGGGAATTCCATCAGGGATAAATGGATTAGTGTATCATGAGGGCTCAGCCAGATAACATGAAACACTTGCAACTTTTGATAAACATTTGTTGAACATCTACTGTGTGCACAGTATTGTCATGGGTGCTAGGGATAAACAAACAGCTATGGTATGGAGGCAAGAACATTGGATTCTGAGTCAAAAGGCCTTGGTTTAAATATCTATCTCTTGTTTATTAGCAGCATGATCACAACTAGCCTGTCACTTCTAGGTAGATATTTTTCCTTTATTTAAAAGTGGTAAAATTCCAATACTGTCTGTAGCACCTACTTCATGAGGTGGTTTTGAGGGCAGAGATGGCATTAGTGGGAGGAGAGGGAGCCATTCTCTAACCAGAGCTTGGAGATATGTCTTCATATACATTCATTTCAGTCATTCATAGTAAGCTATACTAGTTAGGGGTTTATCTTGCTTAACATTTCCTGAATTAGCATAGCCTGAAACAAAGTAGACTATGTCTGGTCAGGGCAGACATTGTAAAACTGGACTCATAACCTGGATATTCTCTATCACATTTACATTCTTTCACAAGTAGTAGGCCTACTGGCCTCCACTTCACTGGTTGGCTCATACCCATAACCACGGAGGCTGTATCTCACTTGAAGAGCTGGCCATATGGTATGAGAGAGAGGGAAATGAGGAAACAAATAAAGGGTTAAGGGAATGGAAACAAGGTTCTGCCACTATCTTTGCCTTCTTCCTCAAAACAAGATGAGAATCAAAAATTTTAAGATCTCCTTTGAGAACCCTGCCGACTTTAGAGAGTGATTGAACAGAACTAAGACTCTTAGGAGATCAGTAAAACCAGGGAATGCTCTCAAATATTCACTGCCCTCAACAGTTAGTACACACAGGGTAAGGGTTGTAATAGCAACCCAGCAGATTATCTGGAGCAAGTCGCTGCTCCCAAATAGGAAGGAGACATTAGAGATACTCCACAAAAGGTAGGGTTATCTCTATTGAATAATAGTGAGGAAAACCTCCCAAATGCAACCCTGAATGGAGTGCCCACATGGAAAGCTTCTGAAATGACAAATTTGACTAGCAGTTCCCAAATTTTCTGCCCAGACCCGATCCATTAGACTTTCTATATTCAAGAACAATAAGTTTAAAGCTAAAATTTAGAATGCAGCTTAAATTAAAAACACTGATCTATGCGAGCCTGATAGGGAAGCTCACACTATGATGTAGAATGCAGCCAGGTGGCAAAACATTTAGACTGCCTGGCCAATTCTTATCCTTATGGTTACTGCAGGTAGGGCAAATTACTCCTAGGTATTGCAGCTCTATACAGAGGTTCCTTCCTCACACAATCTACATATAGCATTTGGGACCAGTTTGAGTACGAATGAAAAGGGTCTAAGACTGGCCTGTTTTCTGACAACTCCGCCCCAAAATGCTAGAAGAGATTCAGGTCTGAGGCTTTGCACAGGCAGCCCTGACAACTGACAGCAAGGTCCTAATGAACTGGACTGAGTTGCCAAAATGCCTTCCACTGGAGGGCAGGAGATCTGCAGAGGGAAATCACTTGGGTCTACCTTCTGGAGTTTGCCTATGTATCATGAAGTGACCTATGTCACAGGCTACCTCCCTCGAATGTGGAGAGCTTGGTATACAGCTGTTTGATGGCTATTTTAGATAACAGGATGTCTGAGCCCTCCTTTGGTCACCCTGGGTAGATGAGTGAACAAGCACAGTTACCTTCATATTGGAATCAAGGACCAGTAACTGTACTTAGGCAATATCCAGAAAGCCAGTGAATCCAATGGCATGAGTTCAGTCCCAGAATCTTTGATAGGTTGTGTCCCCTACTCCAATGGCCCTATTTTGGGATTCAATTGCCTCTGTTTCCGTACAAGCACCCAAAGTGTTAAAGACAGTGAATGGACAAGACAGACGTTTGAATTAATCTCTTCTTCTTGGGTGACATTATCCCTGATCTGCAGATAGTGTAGCAGTTTCACCAGCCAATGGCAGAATCTTCATGTTATAATCAAGAGCAGTCAGCAGCATCTGTCCTAAAACAAACTACTTTGAATTCTTGTTCCTGATGGAATTTTCTCCTTAGAATGCAAAGACAATGATTTTACTTGTGTTTCTAGCAAGTCATATTGTTAGGAATTTTTATGTTAGCATATGGTTTTATGCTTGTTGTAGGTTTATCGTTTACTTAAGAAACTGTTGTGCTTTTTGTGGTAGCAAAAAAGTGGAAACAGAGTGGGTGCTCATTGATTGGGGACAGCTGGACAAATTGTGGTAGAGGAATGTAATGGAATACTGTTGCACTGCAAAAGACAAACACAGAAAAGACTTATAAAAACTGACAACAAAGTAAGCAACATTAGCACAATAAACACAATGACTACAATAATACAAATGAAAATAACACTAAAAGGAAGAACTCAAGATTACAGTGACCAATTTTGGTCCTAAGAACAGATGACAAAACACTTTGTTCTCAGTAAAGGTGGGGAGCTATGGGATCAGAATGCTGCATACACTACCAAACACAGTTGTTTTTGCTTAACCATTTTTGTTACAAGGCAGGGTTCCAAGGGAGAGATAGATTAGTAAATGGTTGTGGTATTTAAAAAAAAAAAAAAGCATCAAATTTTAAGAGCCCCCAAAAGGAACTATGTAACATACCTGGAAAGAAACCCAGTGGTTGAACCTATGTATACAAGCCTGGGCCTCCACCAGCAGATATTAGCATTAAAGACAGAGTCAAAAGATGGCAATTAACAAAATGGTTCAAGGTCCACCCCTACTAGCTCCAGCTCCTAGACATATACAACATAGGCTTTAACCCAGTAAGAAGAACAACTTGGTCCTGACACCAGGCCTTGGACTTTACAGTCTGATGTCCATGGTGACATAGGTAATCACAGTGCCAGCAAGAGACAACTTTACCTATTTATGCCTCTCCTAAGAGTCTAATTATATCTCTTAAACATAAGTCTACTGCAATCAAGGACTGGGACTGTGGAATATAGTTGTATTACTGGGCTGACTTCATTAACTATCCTTATGATGGGCATATGCTCATGTTCTAAGTTGTTGCTTTTCTACCTAGGTTACAGTTTACCAGGAATTAGCTTCTCTTGGCTCATATAGTCCCCTCCAAGAGAAGATACGGGTGTCACCTGTCACAAGCTTCTCTTAGCCTCTGCCTCCCTTTAAGGACTGGGCACAAGACTGTCCCATATATCTCAAAGGCACTGCCAACAGTTTTATATCCAGCCAGATTTGTATAATCTCTTGTCACAGGGGCATTGAGTCAACTCAGAATATGGGAGGGTGGTTCTGATTGTCTACCATGCATTTTTAAAAAATTAATTATGAGGTGTACTGTACCCCCAGTAATCAGGAATTCGGTCCAGGCTGAGTCATGGCTGATTAAACTGCACATCAATTCAGGGCCTGCTATGTATCTTCTAGAGCAAGAGGCCACTGAATAGTGCCTGATCCTCGGCATGCTTTGAATAGACCTTCCTTCAGTCTAAAACTATAAGTCTTTAGCCTTAGAATGTCATTACTTTCTGTACCTCTTAATTTGAACCTAAGCACAAGTAGCTTGTCCACCACTACTTTCAATAGGAGTTATAGGCCTGAGGAGAGAAGTCAGGCACAGTGTAGGGGTAACATAAAGAATAGCTAGCTAATATCTCTATTCTCCAGACTTCAGGAGAAGGAGTCTATCCTTGCCAGTTTTTTTATTTCCTATTTGGGATTCCAGTTTCAAGATGTTCTCAGCATTTGGTGGAGAAGCTTCTCAGTGGTACTATGAACGAAGCAAGGAATTGAGTTATGGGACCAAATGACTTTCCAGCAATGAACAGGAAGCATGACTGCAATATGAAGTTTCAAAGTTTACTAGGTGGCCCATCATCTTTGCATAACAAAAGTCCTCAGTTCTGGACTTCTACCTCCCAGGCTTGTCTGTCAGCTGCCATGGCTCATCAGGCAGCCAAAAGTTCTGCCATATTCAATTAAAACACTTATTAAGTGCCTACTGTGTGCAAGGTGCTGTGTTAGCTGCTAGGGATACAAAGGTAAAAAATAACAGTCCTTACCCTCAAGTTGCTTACATTTGGGGGGGGGCACGCAATTAGAGGGGAGGGTTGGGATCCCATGCACAGAGATAAGTATGATACACAAAAGAGAGTGTAGTAGAGGCAGTGGAGAGATTTGACAAAGTGCTTTAGGAAATTTGAGGACAGAGAGAGAACATTTTATGCTCTGGAAGCTCAAGGACATCCTTGATGTTGCCAATTCTGTCTCAGTTCCAGTGACCCTATTGTTGGTCCAAAGTGCTGTTGAGCTCAGTGTCTAGTTCACTTGAGAAACTCTAGGGCATGACCCTAGTGGGTAAACCCATGCAAGGGATGCACTTAGACTGCTGGGAGAAGCCTTTGCCTCCCTTGCTTGCAGGAGAAGTGTCTCACCATTACCTAGGCACTAGTGGGCCTGGTGGTTATTGAGGCTTTTTTTTTTTTGATGGAAGCTTGTCACATTCAGAACACTAGGAGGGCTCATCTCCACTGTGAACTCGGATATGTTCATCAAGTTTAGATTGCTTAGAAAAACACTTGTCACATTCACTGCAGGAAAACACTCTTTCCCCCTTGTGTAGACGTTGATGGGCCTTCATTCCAGCCTTCCACCGGAAACTCTTGTTACACTCAGGACACTGGAAGGGTTTTTCACTTGTGTGTACAAGCTGGTGGTTTGTCAGGCTTCTCTTCTGACGGAAGCTCTTGTCACACTCAGGGCACTGGAAGGGCTTCTCCCCAGTGTGCACTCGGATGTGCTCTGTGAGCCTAAACTGATCGGCAAAGTTCTTACCACACTCACTACAGGAAAATGGCTTCTCCCTCTTATGTATTCGCTGGTGGGCCTTCAGATAGGCCTTCAAAGAGAAACTCTTGTCACAGTCAGGGCACTGAAATGGCCTCTCACCCCTGTGCAGACGTTGATGGGCCTTCATTCCAGCCTTCCACCGGAAACTCTTGTTACACTCAGGGCACTGGAAGGGTCTCTCACCTGTATGAACAAGCTGATGGTTGATGAGGCTTCTCTTCTGACGGAAGCTCTTGTCACACTCAGGGCACTGGAAGGGCTTCTCCCCAGTGTGCACTCGGATGTGCTCTGTGAGCCTAAACTGATTGGTGAAGTTCTTGCCACACTCACTACAGGAAAATGGCTTCTCTCCTTTATGTATTCGCTGGTGGGCCTTCACATAGGCCTTAGAAGAGAAGCTTTTGTTACATTCAGGGCAGTGGTAGGGTCTCTCCCCTGTATGTACCAACTGGTGATTAATTAGGCTCCTCTTGTGGCAGAAGCTCTTATTACACTGAGGGCACTGAAAGGGCTTCTCCTCGGTATGTACCTTGGTGTGGCTAGTCAGCTTAGACTTATGAGTGAAGCCCTTGCCACACACTCCGCAGGAAAATGGTCTGATCCCACTGTGTAGGCGCTGGTGGGCCTTCATGTTGCCCTTGAGGCGGAATCTCTTATCACACTTGGGGCACTGAAAGGGTCTCTCACCTGTGTGCATGAGTTGATGGTTGAGCAGACTTTTCTTCTGGTGGAAGCTCTTATTACACTCTGGGCACTTGAAGAGAAAGGCTATGTCTCCCATATGCATAAGCTGGTGATGAAGAAGACTTGCCTTCTGTCGGAAGCTCTTGCCACATTCAGCGCACTGGAAGGGCTTTTCTCCACTGTGCACCCTCATATGTCTGGTAAGTCTATACCGCTGGGTGAAGCCTTTGCCACACTCTCTACAGGAAAAAGGCCAGTCCCTACTGTGTAAACGTCGATGGGCCTTCATGTGGGACTTTCGACTGAAGCTCTTATCACACTCAGGGCACTGGAAAGGCTTTTCTCCACTATGTACCCTCATATGTTCAGTGAGTTTATACTGGTGAGTGAAGTCCTTTTCACACTGTGTGCAGGCAAATGGCCTCTCTGTGCTGTGTAAGCGCTGGTGGGCCTTCATGTAGGATTTTCGACAGAAGGTCTTACCACACTCAGGGCACTGGAAGGGCCTTTTTCCTGAATGTAGCTGCTGGTGTCTGAGGAGGTACTTTCTCTTAAAAAATCTCTTGCCACACACTGGGCAATGGAAAGGATTCTCACTTGTGTGTAATTTGATATGGGTGATAAACCGAGCTTTGCGAATGAAAACCTTACCACATGTATTGCAGGAAAACTGTCCATTTCCACTGTGCAGGCTCTGGTGGGATTTCAAACCAGCCTCCCATCGAAAGCTTCTATCACATTCAGAACACTGGAATAGTTTTTTCCCTACAGGTATGAACTGGCGATAACGCCGGTTCACACTGTAACTAAAGTTCTCACATTCACTAGACTGGAAACACTTCTTCCCATAATGCAAATGTAAGCCAGACTGCTTTCTAACTTTTTCCTTGCATTTGGAGCACGTGCATGGATTGTTCTTCGTATGGTTGCCATGATGTTTCGCTAGATGCCCTTTTACCTGGAAATTTTTCCCAAAGACAGAGTAAGAGCAAATTTTTGGCCCTAAGGAAGATTCCTGGTGATTGGGTACACTGAAAGTTTTGTGGCTCTCATATCTGCCACTCTGAGTGGAGTCCTCTAATTTTGGAATTGGAGTCTGCGTGCCTTGGATGCGCAGATATTCCACTGCGGCTTTTTGATAAGATTTGGAGGAAATCTCTTTCCTTTCCTGTGAGCCCTGCTTTTGAAGACTATCTAAATCACCTTCCTCCTTTTTTGTTCTTGCAGTTCCATGGTTCCCTGGAATTAAAAAGAAAAGATCCCATTACTACTTGTGTCTGTCTTAGAGTAAAGTAAAGAGATTTCCCCATTTTACAACTGAGCTTGAGAAAGTCTATTCTGAGCCATCCTAGAAATCCAGCTTTTAGCTTTTCCTAGGTCTCTCTCTCACAGATGCTTTAACTTTGCCCCCAAACCCCTGATCACTAACCAAATATAACCAGACTGCTGGAACCCAATTTAAATGTGAAAGGCTTACTCAGGAATAATAGTGACAAAAAATAAGGACTTAAGGTTTCTATGTGTCCAGTAACGTAAGTCAAACCCTATTAGGGGAACGGATTAATCCAGAGAATATAAGACTCTGGGTTATAACAAAATGGTATTTTAACCATATACATAGTTGTTACATTTTCTCTAGCCTATGGCAAAAACTTCAGGCTGCACAGACTTTTTTTTTCACTTTTAAAATGAATTTTATTATTGTTTCCAGTTTACTAAAGATACTAAATATGAGAGGTGAGTTTTTAGAAGCAGAGGTGTATGGACCCCAACCTTTGGCCACGTCCTATGGAAAGGTATGGAGTTTTGGGAACTATATTCCTCCCCTGTTTTCACGACTGCTTAAGAAAGGTTTCCTAAAAGACAGAACAAAGGGACCGCCAGGCTTTCAAGAAGGGTAAATAGAAGCTTATCAAAAGACCAAAGGTGTTAAACTAAGGGTGTTTACTCTCTTTGCCAAGGAGGCCTGTGTTGGGGCAGATGGCCACATGGATATGGAAGATGTTCCCCAGCTAAAAATCATGAGACAAGAAGGAACGGTGGCAACTGTTAAAATGGGGGCTGGAGTGCCATATTTTACATCAAAGCTGAGGCAGTATAGGTAGTAAAAAAAAGAATATTGGCTATGTGCTCGCAAAGTAAACCAGTCACTTAAATCTGCATGACTTTGGACAAGTCATTTAACTTCTCTAAACTTTACTACACCTGAAAATCAAGAATAAGTAAATGCATAAATAACTAAAAAAATAACTAAATGCACAAACTATAAAAGGTTTTTGTATTTGTTGAATTGAATCAAATGCCATAATGTATGTAAAACTGTTTTGGGGCAGGTAGGTGACGCAGTGGATAAAGCTCCAGCCTTTGAGTCAGGAGATCTGAGTTCAAATCTGGCCTCAGACACTTGACACTTACTAGCTGTGTGACCCTGGGCAAGTCACTTAACCCCAATTGCCTCACCAAAAAAAAAAAAAAGCAACAAAACTGTTTTGTAACTACATAGTTACAAAGTATACCTATTATTACTGTTATTATTATTAATACAACATAATGATGCCAGTAGTAATAATAATAGTTTATAATTATATAATTCTTTACAGTGATATAATAAATCCACCATTTCCTAGGCTCAAGTCTTTTAAGACCTTTCTTTTCCCTTTAACGAGGATAAAGCATCCTATTTATTTCTTAATCCAGGTGAAATTATCAACCACTTTGTCTTCCCTAGAAAAAGAATACAACAGGGCTCAAACTTGTTTCTTTTGATTGTTACAATCTTAGCTATAGCTTGAGTCCTATTTTGGCTTTAAGTACATAATTTACTCCCTTACTAGAAGAGCTGGCCAGGTACCCATAGAACCCAGTTATATTATTATGAGAGCAAAATATTAGTGGTCTAGAGTACTGGTCTCAAACTCAAATAGAAATGGGGACCACTAATCAATATATAAAGGTCCCTGTCAGCCAGATATTGACTTGGTTTTAAAATGAAATGTTATCTATGTTTTATTGTATTTTTATTTATTTTGTTAAGCATTTCCCAATTACATTTTAACCTGGTTCAGACTGCACCCAAAGTACTGTGCACTGCATGTTTGATACCTCTGGAGAGGCATCCTGGCCAATGATCCATTGGGAAGGAAACCCCAACGTGAAACAGCATTCATTAACCACTCCATTTGCCTCTAACACATAACATTCTTAATTTTTAGAATTAAGAATTCCAGGTTCCCTAAACATGACAAGAAAAATGGAGGAATATTCACCTTATTCAATCTAAAAGAGATAACAGTTCTCAGAATAATGGGATACTTTACTTCAAGGGCTATGGAACCTTCGAACATTTAGCTCCATGATTCTCAAATGTCTCAAAATTCTCAAAACTGTGAGGTAGGAAAAGTGATACCCATTTGTTTTCACTTACCCCTAAACAGTTTCTTCTCAGTGACCTTCAAATTGAAATGCTCATAAGCATTCAGGCTGACTCCTATTTCTGCTTGTTCCAAATCTCCCCAATTCCCGACAAATAATACTTCTCCTAGTTCAATCCGGAATATCAAATCTGGCTTGGGAATGGTATAGTCTGTCAAGGAAGGTCACATAGAAACAATTATTTTCCCTGGATGTTTGGTCTGAAAGCATGTATTGATTATTGTTCTTCAATACGAACTCATCATACCAGTCAAGTCAATCTCTTTCCGTGTGTGTGTGTGTGTGTGTGTGTGAGAGAGAGAGAGAAAAAGAGGAAAAAAAGAGAGAGAGAGAGAGAGATTGAGTGTATGTATGTCCACACTTAATCCCATCTCTGTTTTTTTTTAATGCTCTCCCACCTCAAAAAGCCCTTCTTCATTCTCACTGACAATACAATCCTACCCCTTCACAAAGCTTTCCTCTAACTATTCCAATAAACATTAATCTCTCACTTATCAGAATTCCTATAGTATGTGCAGTATATGCCACCAAACTGGTTTCTTCATTATATAGTTTTGGCAATTTATTTGCCAATAGTTTCTTATTTATTTTATTGGTCTAAGTCTTAGTTTTCAACAATCATAGGCTCGCAGAAGATGAAGTACTGTATTATTCTTTGCTAGCAACCTGACTGAGGGCTCACCAAAGAGCCTTCCCCCGAATAGCCGCCATCCAATTCCACTGTTGTTACTATTGTTGTTCAGAAGTTTTTCAGTTGTGTTTGACTCTTCATGACTCCATTTGGGGTTTTCTTGACAAAGGTACTGGAATGGTTGGCCATTTCCTCATGCAGCTCATTTTACAGATGAGGAACTGAGGCAAACAGTAACCTGCCCAAGGGTCACTGAGCTAGTAAGTGTCTGAGGCTGGATTTGAGCTCACGAAGATAAGTCTTCCTGATTCTAGATCTTGCACTATATCCACTGTGCTACCTAGCTACCCTCCAATTCTATAGAGTTTCTAAAATTTTTTTAATAAATACTACTTACCCAAGGAAACCAGGGTTGAGTAATTGGCCCTCATCACATGCTTGTAAAGGTCTTTCTGCCAATCATCCAGGATATCCCACTCTTGCTCTGAGAAATATATGGCCACATCATCAAACTTCACTGGGACCTGGAATCATAAGCACCATATTGACATTTAGTTTTTACCAATGACATTGCTGTTCTTTTTTTTTTTTTTTTTTGTGAGGCAGTTGGGGTTAAGTGACTTGCCCAGCCGGATATGAACTCAGGTCCTCCTGACTCCAGGGTCAGTGCTTTATCCACTGTGTCACCTAGCTGCCCTGACATTGCTGTTCTTATAGAGACTTTGCAGTTGTTTGTTCCAAAGAGGGGACTACAAATTTATTCCAATAATGGCAATTAATTTGAAGAATACAGAAAAGCATGGGAAGATTCATATAAACTGATGAAAAGTGAATTAAGCAGAACCAGGAAAACAATATACACAAGGGCAATACTGGAAAGAACAAGAAATGGAAAGAAATACTAAATGTAAAGAACAAGAAAATCAAAATGGAATACTACAAAATTGTACTAACCAAGCTTGATCCCAAACAAGAAATACAAAAATACACTTTTTTTCCTTCTTTGAAGAGACAGGAGACTATGGATGTGGATCACTGCATAGAAGGTAGGATTTGTTTGACTAGTTTTGAACTGCTTTTTTTTCCTCCTTTATTATAAGAGATGACTCTTTGTGGGGCACAGGGGAGATATATGAAAATGAAAGTAATATAAAAACAAAAGGCCCATAATTTAAAAAATAACAAAATCTACAATGACTATATTAATATAACAAAAATACAACTATAAGCAGCCACTGTAATGACCAGTCTTGGTCTGACTAGAGAAAAAGTGGTGAAATACCATCTCAAAAGAGATGTAAAGGACCATATAGGCCTATGCTATCAGATATGGTCAAGTGGTTTTGCTTAATGGGTTTTCTTTGTTACAAAATGAAGGTTCACTGTTGGTGGTGGGCAAGGGAAGGAAGCAGGATACTTACTGTGGTATAAAAAATAAAAGTCTAACAAATAAAGTTTAAAATTTTAAAATCCCAGCTAATGAAAAACTGAAAACAGTGTAAATGTTCAATGCCTGAGCAATGGTTAAACAAATTGTCGTACATCAAAGGCAATGGTGCCCACAACCATCGAAAAAATAGAAATGTGGAAAAAGTAATGCAAAATGGGGTAGGCAAGAGAAAAAAGATACTTTATTTACTGATTGTGGGAAGGGATCAAACCTGATTTCTTTCATGTAGGGAATTCCTTATGAGAAATTTCCTCTACAAGTGCAAATGGGAGTTTTCTTTTTTGCCTGGCACACAGTAGGTGCTTAATAAATGTTGACTGGAGAGTTACACTGGACACTGAAAGGTTAAGTGACTTGCCTGGGTTCACTCAGCCAGCATGTGTTGAAGGGGGTGACTTGAGCCCAGATTCCTGACTCTTGTGGTCAGCTCTATCCACTATACCACAATGCTTCCTATACATTTTCTCATAACTATGTAAAAAATACATAACACACTCGAATATATACAAGGATGAGAATGTTAGTTATTAGTGGTGTGCCATTGGTTTCTACATGTTTATTTTGTCAAATGCAATTTTTAAAAAATGTCTCTCCTCATGACCTTTATAAGTTTCCAATGAAATGTAGTTGAAAACATATCGTACTAGAAATCAGAAGGTAGGAAGTAATAAAGGCTTGTAGTTCTCTTATTTATTGGTTTGGCCAATAATTATCTGTCTGGCCTTAGCCAAGTCTTCTCTGAATCTTAAGTTTCAACTGTAAAATTTGTCCTATCTCAACAAGATGTGAGCATTAAATCAAATGTTATATTCTTCAGTATTCAAATGGATCTATGATTAATGGACCTATAAACTATAATCCTACTACAGAAATCTCTAATATCACTTCCTCTTAATAATTTTTCTAGTACTTTGAACAACCAATTAAAAAATAAACATTTATTAAGCACCTACTATGTGTCCGGCACTGTGCTAAGCACCGGAACAAAATGTTTAATGTAGATGTAGTGTTACCCTCCAATAATGCAGAAAGAAACTCATTTGTGTCTGCCTAGTCTGTGGCTCATATCCTTGGTCTCCCATAAATTTGTCATCAGGGGTTCACTATGTAGGTTAGACATCAGTTTTCCCCCAATCTATTTTATTGGCCAAACTTCTTCAATTATGTTTCTTTGAAGATATCCTTTATACCTCTTCTCTTGTTTAATTCCTTGTTTGTAATGTATCACAGCGTGCTCCCACATACCATGTAACTCTCCACTGGCTTTTGGGGGTGATCTTCAACTTCAGTTCTTTGGAAACTACAGACTTCCATGACTTGGAGCCATGTAGCATCACAGAAGATCACTGGTGTTTAAAAAACTGGATTTTTGTTTTAGGTAGAAGCTTTGGGTAATCAAAAGAACTTTGTAATTTCCAAAAGACAATCCAGCTTGCCCTTTTCTTCTTGTTCAATTCTGAGCCCAGCTGATGGTCCAATGTTCCACATTGGTCCAAGACACACATGTGGGCATACATACATACAGACAGACAGACACACATTAAAGAATAGTGGATAAACCGTCAGATTTGGTCACTCTATTAGTTGTTCTTGTTTAACTAATATATGTAACCAGTCTGAGAGCGTATGCAGCATTCCATAGGATTGTAGATCTACAGTTAGAATGGCCCCCAAAAGAGGAAAGAAGAAGCATTTATAATGCCTACTATATTCTAGGCACTGTGATAAGTATTTTTTTTTTACAAATATTATTCATTTGATCCTTAAAACAACCCTGAGGGGTTGCTGATATTATTATTCCCATTTTATTATTATTCCCATTTGCTTACAGGCAAACAGAGGTTAAGTGACTTGTTCAGGGTCACACAAGTGTCTGAGACTGGCTTTGAAAGCCATTTAGTCCAACCACATCATTTTACAAACGAGGAAACTGAGATCCAGGGATGTTGAGTGACTTGCCCAGGCCACACTCTTTTTCTCTTCTCACAAGTGAGTAATGAATTTTGGTGGTGCGGTGGAAGGGGTTATCCATATCCATGTGTATGTATACATGGAGATATAGCTGTACATACACACATATATATACACACATGTGTATGAGAGAGAAGGTTGATGGATAAGTGCTATAAATTGTCCAACCGCACATCACAGCCTAGATAATAGGCCTTCTTGGGGTTTTGGGACAATAATGGTTAAATAATGCCTATAATAAAGTGCTTTAAAAATAGTTAAATGCTACCAAAAAACAAAACAAAACAAAACAGCTCTTCAACTACTTACAAGAGAGCAATCACCCTCTAAGTCTTGTCTTCAAGCTAAACATCCCCCGTTCCTTCCCCTCTGCCCACACAAACCGAACTTGGCACCGTACCAAGCAGCCCCCGAACCCTACGGACCAGCCAAGCTGGCCTGAACCTGTCCTCTGTCCGCGCCTGAACTCAGCCTCCCATCAGCTCCCGTCAGCATCCCTCAGCTTGAGCGCAGGTGGGAATCCTGCGCCCCGTCTCCCCGCCCCCTCCGCAAAGTCAGCCCCTCGAGGGCAGGATGCGCCGTTCCGCCGCTGCCTCTGCACCGCCAGCCCCAAGGATGGGGTCCCCCTGCAGCCCGGGGGCGCTCCCGGCCGTGGCTAGCCCGGTGACTGCCTCTCTAAAGAACCTGTTCTCAGGGTCCAGGCGAGGGGAAGCGAACCAGAAATCCCGACGTCTACGCATTGCACTGCTGAGAGCAGCCGCAGGTCTCCGGCGCCCGCACGCTGCAACGATTCGGAGACCCCCGGGGGCTGCCGAGCTCCTGCCCCTGCCCCCGCCCCCCCCCGCTCCCCAGCTAGGCCCGCGCGTCTCACCGAAGCCGGCGCCGCCGCGGCCATGACCCTCGGTGTCTCGCCCAGACACCGGGGAGGCTGTGGAGGGTCCGGTCCTTCCCCGTCCCCGTCCCCGTCCCCCTCTTCCTCCCACCCCGCTCCGCCAGCGGCCCGGCCCAGGACGTCCGGCCGGGGAAGAGGCCGAAAGCCTGGAGGGCGGGGAGCCAGGGGCCGGAGCAGGGGAGCGGAGCTCATCCCTGGCCGTTCTGAGCCCGGAGGGCCGGCCCCGAGCTGGGCTGCCCCCGGTGCCCGAGCACCAGCGCCCCGGCCCCAGCTGATCTCCCCTTGCAACCTGCAGCAGTTGCCGGGCACACGCGCTGCATCATGGGACTCCAGCTCCTCTCCAGCCTGAGATGCTGCTACTTAACCGTGGATCCCCGAGACACAGCGCCGCCTCCGGTGTGGAGGAGTAAAGGCGTGTCGGAGGAGTCCCGAACCAAAAGCTTCGTTGCTGCCGGGGAACTCAAGGCATCTCTCAAAGCCTCTTACATCATGGTTGGCCCCAGAGCTGCTTGTGGATTTCCAGGGGACCTCAGGCTAGGGAGACCTAAGGTTGCACCAGATTAAAATTTATTTTTTCAATGAACAAAAATACGTTTTCTCTTCTTTCCATCCCACCTTCCCCACTTGGGGGGGAAAAAAACTCTTGTAACAAATATGTCTAATCATGCAAAACAAATACCCACCATTGGGCCATGTCCTGAAACACGCCTCATTCTGCATCTTGAGTCTGTCATCTCTCTCTTACTAAGTGGACGACATGACTGAATTCAATAACCAACCCCTCTTAATTGCAGCGTCTTCCCTCTGTTAATTATTTCCTATTTATCCTGTATATAGCTTGTTTTGTATATATTTGTTTGCACGTTGTCTCCCCCATTAGATTGTAAGCCTCTTGAGATCAGGGATCTTTTGCCTCTTTTTGTATCCCCAGCGCTTAGCACAGTGTCTGGCATGAAGTAGATGCTTAATAAATGTTTATTGAATTGAATCGAACCATTTATTAACAAAAATGAATGTTGAAAAATTACAAAGAATAAATTATGAGAGGATACCTCCCATGTCTCCTTTGCAGAGTGTTGGGACTACTAGAGTTCCATGGGTATGAAACACTAAATATTTCGTCAGATTTTTATTCAATGTATTGATCAGTTTTGTTGATTTCTCTTTTTTCTCTTTAAAAATTTTTTTTTAAAAAACATGGAATGTCTCTCTAGGAGTATGGAGGATACAGGGAGAAATGTAGGTGATGTAAAAACAAAATATCAATAAAAGTTTATTTTTAAAAACATATTAAGTGCACTGACTTAGAATACAAGCTCATCTGCAGAACATGAGGACAGATTTGGGAGTGTAATTTCAAAAAACAAAAAAAGAAAAAAGAAAAACATCAGCTGAGTCAAAGAGTCTATAAGGAGTCTGCTGTGATCACTGTTAAAAAAAAAAGGTGATGTAAAAGTTATGACAGGTGGATTCTCTCAGGGGTGTATGGTACCCTCAGATATTGAAAGAACCAGAGGAAGTTTGAGTGAATATCTGATATTCTGATATAGTCTGATATATCAGATAATATCTGATATAGTCATATTGGCCACATTGAAGCCATATGTCCTCTCAATAAAACTGATTTGCTTTACTATCTTTCATGCTCCATGCAGAGGTGTGCTGGTACACATTTAATAACTATTTATGTATGCACAACACACTTTTAAGTTTAACCTGCACTATTAATGTTTTATCCATCACTTTCTTAACTTTACACAATCAACAAACACTACATCAAGCCCTGACTCGTAGTATTTGCCAATTTCTGAGCTGGAAATGTTCACATTGAATAATTAACAATTGGCTCTTGCCAGCCCACACAAGCTGTCTCCAGGTCTATGCTATTTCCCTGGCTCCATGTATAGGCATATAATTATAATTAATGCAAATTTGCATTAAGACAGTTGTCAAGAGAGACTTTAACGCTGCAGTAGATAGGCATATAAGATTAATGGAAATGACCACTCCCCATTTTCTAATTCTATACTTAATTGAAAAACCACATATCCCATCATCTTAGAAATGAAAGCAATACTCATATTTACATGTCTTTATTTTAATTCAACAAAACATCAAGGACACACATCCACAGTGGCTGGTCCTTAATTAAGGTGAAACATGACACAAGGCACAAAACAACTGTGTGACAGCATACATGAGGGCTTTGTCTTTGTGATTTTGTGCTTTGGAGGGTCAGATTTTTAAAGTGCTAGCTCTGACTTCCCATTTCCCACTTTGGGTTTGCCAATATTTTAATTGATAAGGTAAGTGCTATTTTTTTTCTCTTGGTTTCTGGGTCTATATTGCAAGGTCTTTGGATATCACTATGTGGGAATTGGTGGAGAGTGTTACCCTGGCTTGTGGTTAGCCTAGCAAATGTATCATTCTCAACACACATGTGAAGATGGCTATTTAACATAGCCTGTCAATTGCTGATTATTTCATACACATAACTGCAGGGAGGGATAGACCTGGCATTTCGAGGTCTCTTTAAAAAAACTTTTAAAAGTTCAGGAATGCAATAGGTAGGCAATAGTGTATATGTATGTATATATATATGTATTTAAATATTAATATATCTATGTCTCTAAGTACAAATATATATATATATTATTAAACATTTAATAAGCCAAAGTGTTGCAATAGAAATATATATGTACATAAATATATATAGTAATACAAATATCACTGTCTTTATATGAAGTCTCCTATATATGGGGGAGCACTTGTAGCTACATTACATATCTTAGTTCTGTGGTCAAAATTTAAAGCTGCTTTATAGCTACTCATTTGGGTTATGGTTTTCTCCCCAGTTCAGGCTTGCAGGAGAATGGGAACTTTGTATTAGTCTTTATATAAGCAGAGATCAAGACTCTACAGTTACTTTTCTTCCTGCTGATGTATCAAAGACTGAGGCCATTGTATCAACTGTCTATTAGATATTTCAAACTGAATGTTTCATAGCTATATCTAATTCAGTATGTCTAAAACAGAACTCATTATTTTTCCTTCCAAACTTACTTCTTTTGGCTTTTCCCCATTTCTATCTAAGGCACCACTATTCTTCTAGTTTCCCAAGTTTGTAACCTTGGTATTATTTTCAACTTCTCATGTCTCCTCACCTCATCGATCCAATCAGTTAGAAATCTATCCAATCAGCAAGAAATCTTGCCATTTCTACCTTTCCGACATCTCTAGCATCCATCCTTTTCTCACTACTCACATAGCCACTACATTTCAAGCCCTCGTCACCTTTTTCTTAGTCTATTGTAATGGCCTCCTGATTGAGTTCCCTATCTTAAGTCTCACACTCCAAACCATGCTACCCATGTAGTGTAGGTTGCCAAAGTGATTTTCCTTATGCTAAGGTCTTATGATGTCACTCACTTTAGGGGCTCCCAATTGCCTCTAGGATCAGATATAAATTCTTCTATTCAACTTTTTAGGTCTTTCACAACCTTTGTCCAACTTAAATTGCCAGGCTCTTTTCTCTTGCCCTCTATAATCCAGCTAAGACAGCTTTTTC